TACGTGTTTTATGCATGTATGGTTCTAGGCGTTTCTTTTCTCCTCGCTCTAGCCTGTGCGATCGTTGACGATGTCTTCTCACCTCTCGATGTCCTTGTCCATCGCCCTCATATCCCTTCTGCAGACGTCCTTGAAGCAAAGACGACGTCGCCCTGGTGCCCTCTTGCCGGCGTCCAGTTCACCATACAGAAGGAACTTCGTATCCCCTTCCCATCAACAGACTGTTGCTTCTTTTGCCATCGCGGTGAGGCGACGCTGGAGAGTCCTTTCTAGGGCGCAGGACTGGTCAGGTTTTTATGAGAGATCGGCGGTTGTCTATGCAGCACGCCTCCCTTCTACACGCCACTGATGTTATCCAAGGGAAAGGTAAGAGTCCAGTGCAGCTTGGCACCGGCGTTGTTATATATATATATATTATTTAAAAGAAGGGAGTTGGCCGGAATCGGGATTATCGAGTCAATGTGAACGATCCTTTCCTTAGCTGCATAGTATGCGCTTCACCAGGGTTACATACAGCAGTTTTGAATTCAGAGTTTTCCTTCTCCAAGACTAGTTGCCACCTAAGGCTATAGAACCTACCCTGTCTTAATATTTATCCATAGCTGGCGGGAGAAGAGCTGGATTCGTATTTTCTCAATGGTATTAGAATGTAGGTGAACGTGATGAACTATTTATATATACATTATCTATATTCGGACAAATGTTCTCATCTTTATTAGCACAACGTTTTAAATCCTATAAATTTATAAAACTAGCAGTTATTAGCTTTGTGAATTCAGATAGCTTTATTTAGAAACAAGTAGCATTTAAATTAGTATTTTTAAGCATATCTTTTATGAAACTAGCCAACTGATGAATGTAATATTAAACATAGAAACGAAAAAGAAACATTGCTACAACATTAAATATATTCTAACTATTGATTTAAGACAGCAGATCAAATACGAATTGATGTCTCTTGAAATAATTAGCATTAACGAATTTCAAATTAAGTTAAATCTCGGTGTGTCGCATTTAACGGTTTTCATTAAATTATCTTACGCTCGTCTGTGTGCTAATTGTTTAGTATTATTTCTGCACGCAGATTGTTTTTTTGCGCAAAAGAAATAATATAAATAATTCAATAATTCATAAAATGAAATGGAAAAATTGAAAAAAAAAAATGGTTAAAAAGAAGAAAGAAAAATTAAAAAACAATGATTTTCGGTGCTATGTCTCAGTGGCAGGAAGTCATATTGTCACTTTGTCTCCTACTACAAAAGGCTAGCAGATTCAAAATGGCCGTTCGCTATTAATTCTGTTACTAAAATATAAAATACAATTAGCATCGATAATTTCCTTTGATTTCCTTTTTATTTCTACCGCCTGTTTAGGTTTCATGTATTTTTTCTAGACATTTTAGATTTCCGGTTATTTTAAAGATGTTTTTTTTTTTTTTATCGTCATCATTACACTTCGGTAACTTCCGTTTCTTTTGCATTTAATCCATCTTTGCAATTTAAAAAATTTTTTTTTTCCATTTTCTGTTTTTTCTTTTTATGTCGTCATTATTCATATATTTTATTTCTTTCTTTGGTCACACTTTCCAAAACTTAACATTTCTTAAATCCAATTTTTATTTCTCCTTTCTTACTTTTATTCGTATCTCACGACATATATTCTTTTATCACTCATTTTTGTTTGTCGTCTTTTCACTAATTCTTTCTATTTTGTTTCTTCGAAACTGTTCAAAATTCTTCCTTAACTTTCCATTCATTTTCTTTTTTTTCTTTTATTCTTTAAATAATATTTTTCACTTTTCCCAACGGAATATTTTCTTTCTTTCTTGTTTTCCCAGAATTTGTGAATTTGAAAAAGAAAAAAAAAAAAAAAAGAATTACTTGTCCCTTTCTTTGATCATAACGCGTTACCATTGAGAGGTATGAAAAAATAAAAAGGAAAACCTTTCATTATGTCTAAGTATTTTGCAAAATTTGGCATTAAGAATCTCTTAGTATTCATCAAAAATATCTTTATTAACGATGAGAGTTTGGCAAACTTTTTGGACATTAACTAGTATTTTCCACTAGTTATGGCGTAAGTAGATAAACATGAGCGAGTTCAGGGTCAATAAATAATCTTATAGAGTGGGGGGGGGGGCTAAATTTAAAAAAAAAAACCCAAACAAACAAAAAAAACAAAACATGACCGTTCAGGTTTGGATTAAATTAGTGGGTATTCGACAGTATATCTTATAAATAAGCGCTCTAAATTAAACAGAGGGTCACGGCCATGTGACGTTGAAACATCGGTTTCCCTACGTTAAGCAATGACGAGCCTGGTCATTACCAAGATGGGTGACCGCTTGGGAATACTGTAAACTTCGATGTGCCGGTAGTGTAATGGATAATGTCACCGAATTTGAAATCGCAGAGTGTGGTTCCCATTTCAGTTGGGTTCGTTATATTCGCTTACGCGCAAATACCCTTGGAAAAAGCATGAACCCACCGGGTTAATTAGTAAGACTTGTATGACTAAATCATTGTTATCTCTCCCCACCAATTTCTTACAATGTAAAAAAAAATATTTTTCTGGCTTTAAATAACCAGAAAAGGGTTGATGAACTGTAAAAAACGAATCAATCAATAAAAAAAGAAAATGAGCGCACAGGGTCAGATTAAATTAGTGCCGATAGTCTAGCTTATAAAATTTTAAAAATATGAACCTTCAGGTCGATGATACGATCCTTTGACAATAAACCATTAGTGCATTTGTCATTGATAATAAAATGTCATTATTTCTATTATCTCAATGCTTTGCTTTATAGAAGAAAAACATGGAAAAGATGTGATATATTGAATAATAGTTAAAAGGAGATAGGATATGTAGAATAATAGTAAAACTATGAATAAACACCTAGAGATTATTATTATTATTCGGCACATAATTTCGGATTGGAAGTCAACGAAGTCGACGTGTTTGACTGTATTCTGTGAACTGCAGCATATCACGCTTCATATTATGAAGAAATTACGAGAAATACACACACACGTACGCATAAAGGAAGGTAAGATGATTTTTCCATTGATATAAAAAATGTTACATTTATGATAGTCGTGGTGCCAAGAATTTAAGTATACCAGTCTTAAAAGGCACAATCTGTTAACGTGGAAAGGAAATATTAAAAATCAGACCAAATGAGAGACAGTCGTAGGAATATAATAAAATAGAGCGAAAGAAAAAATAGTAAGGGGGGAAGGAATAAAAGAAAAAAGAAAGACGGAAGGAAAGATGAAAGTAGGAAAGAAGCGTGGAG